CTCTCTCTGTCTCTCTCTCTCTCTCTCTCTATCTCTCTCTCTCACACACACACACCAACACACATACACACACACACACATGAACACAAGAAAACCCAACGTCATCGGCTCTCATCTCTCGTCTAGAGACTAGTGCTGTGCGGTTTTGAGAAAACGAAACTTAATTGACACTTTGAAGGGCGAAGTCGCTATTCGTGTTATTTTATTAAGTCCAAGTCCAGCGGCACCATTCAGTAATTTAATTATTAATTTTGTTGGCTCCACTTATCAATCTGTCTCGTGATCACCAATAACAAAATATATTTTTTGTATTCACCTGAATGATTTTAGATTGTGCATGCATAATAATGCTCTAATGTTTCGACGGTTTCTAAAAATGTGACGAAAATCCATTATCCATAAAATCAATCGGCATTTGAATGGTTCTGCCACACTTCAAATAGCTGTGAATAGTGGGCTGAAGGAAATCATGAATGTTGAATAGTAGAGACGAGTGTGCACAGCTCTGTTTGAAACATCACTCCCAAAGAGGGGATATTAACATGTTCTTATGCACAGTAGAATTGTAAATGGGCTGATTTATCAGTGACATGCTCATACTGTGCTGAAACGACATAGGGGGAACTGTTGTTTTTCTGTTCTCATCCTTACTATCGTCATTTTCCTCTACTTCTTTTGTATGTTTGTCACTCTCTTGTGAACTGCTATTCCCGGGATGCCTTGATAGTCAAAGCAGACTTTGTGTTGTTGAGGCCAGAGAGGTGAGCAGAGTAAGCCTGATTCCCCGTTTGGACTTCTCTGTTGACATCCACCGCTTGGTGCTCATATGAACGTGTGCAGATACGAGCGCCGTAAAACCTTACTAGAACAACAAAGTCCAACTGCAACTTTCTCTATCCAATAATCTTGTTGGGATCGCCTATCACTCTTTTTTTTATAGTAGAGGGTTTTGCGGCGCTCGCAACTGCATAAGGTCATATGAGCGCCAACCTATCACTCTGTCAAGATCTCGTAATCAAAAGCACCAAGTATTCCTGAATTTACTTTTTTTTATAATGATTTTAGATATTCACATACGTTCTAATGTTACGAAATGTTTCTTTAAAAAAGAGACACTTCAAACAACAGTGAAAAGAGAAAAAAAAATCGTGAATCCTGAGTAGTAGAGTCGAATGTGGCCAACTCTGCTAAACATAATATCACGCCAAACGAAGAGCGCCCGATCGATCGATGTGCGAGACTATGGAATAGAAGGAACCGTAATTATTTCCTGAAGCCAGTCACGAAGCCATACGGCGAGATGAGGTGAATGTAGACTGTTGGCAGCCCATTCTCTCGATTCTCTCGGCATATATAGGCGGACTCAAGACGTGATGGGGCTTCTTTTGATGGATAATGCCACGTACAAATCAGAGCAGAGCACGTGGTGTGTGTGTGTGGGGGGGGGGTTGTGTTTGTGTGTGTGTGTGTGTCTGTTTGTCTGTCTGTCTGTCTGTCTGTCTGTCTGTCTGTCTGTCTGTCTGCCTGTCTGTCTGTCTGTCTGTCTGTCACTGTGTATGTGTGTGCAAAAATTTAAAGATGTCTACTGCTGAAGAGAGCATAGCGTTGGCAAGTGGTTCAACTGATCTAATCTTTAAAAAACAACATTTTTTCAAATAGAAAAGAAAAGCTTCATTGTTTTAAATTTTGTACCCGCATTGTGCATCGTTTCCGGCTTCTACCAAATTCAGTAGAATGTACGAAGAATTTGAAATTAGACAAAATGTTCTCCCAAAACATACAACCGACTTCACAGATTGAGAGACTACATTGACAAGAATTTTAAAATTTTGGACTAGTGCATCTGGACATTGACTGATGATAAATGACCTCGCTTTCCATCAAAAGTGGTGTAGGCCCCTACTTGCATAAGACTGATGTTACTATTTATAAACGTGAACTTCACAAGCCATTCCTACTCCAACCTGAACATTCGAAAGACATAATATGAAGTACTGAATAGAGACAAAAACTGTAGCTCAGCTCAGTTGAAATCTTGAATAGGTTGACTGAGGATATGTGACCTCGCATTCCACCAAAAGTGATGTACTTGTATGAGACTGATGTTACTATACATATGTATATATAAACGTGAACTTCACAAGTCAACTATACTCCAAACTGGACATTCCAAAGACATAACATGAAGTACCGAAAAGAAACAAAAACTGTAGGTCAGCTTAGTTGAAAAGCTTGAAAAGGTTTTTTAAAACGGCACAGTCCCTGGGTCTTCCTTACATAATCTGTGCCAAAGCGTTTAAAAAGGGCTGGGCTCTTTTTTCAACAAACACGAGAACACAATATGAGTCTCTCTTATTGATTTTTTTCCCATTCCTCTCTAATGCTTCACATCACCGGTGACATATGAGATCTGCACAAATTTACTTGGGATCTTCCAAAACCTGAAAAAACAGGGCCCACCAGCCTTGAAGAGAGTGCGTTATTGGAGTTTAAAAGGGCCCTCTAAAAGGGGACATGGTTATTTTTTACTTTGGCTTCGTTCCATTTCGTTTTGGCTTTCGCCATTTTCAGGAAGGGGGTTGGGGAGCGGGTGGGGGG